TCCTATTCCCACGAGAAGCACGGGCTTGTGTATGTATTGGTAAAAAACTGGTGATGTGTGACGGAGAAGCACATGCTCGTGTATGTATTAGTAAACTGGTGATGTGTGACGGAATGGATTGCTCTAGAGAAATATCTAAATCTACCCGCCTCACACACGGTAGGCTGACAAGTCTATGCAATCTGTCTCGTGTGTACATCCACACAAGGGCGTGTAAAGCATCCGCCAAGACGCAGGCGTTAGTGGTACAGAAGAGTATAGTTTATTTTGGTCGACCTTTGTTTACTATTTTAGTTGTCTCGTCTTTCAATTGTACTGGGTGTGGGACACATTTATATATCCACTTGCCTCTGCGTTGCTATCTGGATTTATATATGTAGTTTAGTAGTATTTGGATTTGTATATAGATTTGTATCTGTACTTTAACGTTAATTTCTATTCACGCACATCTCTTATCTATCCGCACCTCCCGCTATACAGGGCTGGTCCACCTGGCCGTACCGTACTACCGCAAAGTGATCGCACTGAGCCCTTTGTCCACTGATCCCTCGCTGTCTGTGTCAGCAACTGATCTGCTACAGGAGGCGGCGTACAACCTATACGTTATACACTACACATCTGGCAGCCGGGACCTCGCGCGATACTACTTGTTCACGTACAATGTTTGTTGACAAGGTTCAGTGCAGAGTGCAACGGGTATCGACAGTGCACACGTGTCCGTGCACGTTCTGACGGACATGTGCACACACAGCGCTCGTGGGCGAGATGTGGAAAGTGGATTGAGACGAAGTGTTGGTCTATCTTTTGATGCGAGTTCAGCGTGGGTAGTCACCGGAGATGTACCGAATACAGCATACGATATATCGCATGCAAATCTCATAAACAAGCCGAGACCTGGCTCTTCAATACAAACCGACCTGTAGCAATGGTTTATTGTTAAACAATGTCTAACTGCTGAGACTTTGGAGGTAGAGTTCGTCCGCGCAAACTGCCACTGAACGAGATGATTACTTTTATCGAGTTGTGCTCCTCCAAGCTGGACTTGTGCCAGTGTGCTTAAATGGAATGGATGTTGATATATATGTATATATATATAAATATATTGTATGATTGACGAATCGGGCCAACATAAATTGGTTCTGATTTAGAGCTCTGAAACATTGGATTTGAGCAAATAAACAGAAACACCAGGTCGTCGATAGTATCGCAGCGGTATATTGTCAACAGCATTTCTCGCTGCCTCTGCCGATGTAATTCTCAAGTACCATCGGCCTATATATATATATATAAAATCTAGCAAGTACTTAGTCCGTAACAACGTTTTTTTTTGGTCTGTTAGCTGTAGCAACAGTACACTAGAGTCATGATAAAGTACGGCATTTCCTCAGTCTGCGACTGCCTTTGCTACATATCACCGAGCGTACACATATGCGAAAGAAAAGGCGCGGCCCACACGCCATTGTCAGACCTGCCTGGCGCGTTCTGTGGCAAATACTATTCTGCGGTCCAAAGTGCAAGGCAATACCTGGGCCACGATCTATTGTAACATACATTGATAGAGTTTCATTACAGCCTTAAAAACCAATGATCCAGGTTAGAACGGCATTAGTTTCAGCATCGCGTTGATCTGCGGGATGGCTTCCACAATCACTCCGTTTAAGGCGTTGTTGACCGCATGAGCAATCTCACCATCGACATCGAAACGCTGATGTGCCAACACAGATAAGGCAGGATTAGAATTAGTGACAGCCATAGCCTTCTAAATTGAACAGACAAGTATGTACGCGGATGATCACTATTGGGCCGAATGCACATAATTCATATCTTCGAAAGAAGAAGAAAAATAAGAACAATGGAATAGGTAATACAAGATCTTATATTCCACCCACAGATGAGATAGCAAGTGACACACTCCACGACTTAGCATGTTGTGACAACCATCAGAATAAATTGGGTTTTTAACCATGAACCATGAGACGCAGACACCTTCTTGATCTTCTTGGCCATGGAGTTGGTGATAGAGCTGATTATCTTGTCAAAGGCGCCCAGGTGATTGATGTGCATTAGCAGAGTTTTGTAGGGGAGTGTGATGTTCTTAGACGACGCCTCCTCTACCTGGAAGATGTGTTTGCCCTCGGCCGTACTGGTGAAAGACAGCTGTAAGGAAACGACAGACACGTGAGTACAAAGAAGTGTAAGATTGTAAGGGGTTATAAAGAAATGTAAGATTGTAAGAGGTTATTCATTCTCTATCGAAGACTTGGGACCTAGCTCTCACAGTGATTAATTCACTCTAACCGGTCGATATACAACATATGTGTGGTGGCATACTATTACGAAGACAGGTACATGTATTCTATAAATCGAATCCGCTCACTCATCTAACCCACTGCGCAACGCAGGCCAAATAGTAAAGGAAAAAAACAGATAAACAAACCATCACAACGATCTGTGCCAAATCGCCAGACTCGTACGCACTTTAGAAACGAATAAATGAATAATGCTATGCGAATTCCATATAGCATGGAAAAATAAATAAAACTATGTGAATTCTATACAGTACGGGGTGTGTGTATATATATCCGTATACTTCCAGATTGCACACAGAATTTGATGCAGCACTTACCACGACATCCACTGTGACCACCGGTTTGATCTCAACGATAGTGAAGTTTCCCGACGACGACACAGGGATCACCAGCTTCCCCATGTGGCCATGGGCAGTCTCGTGCGAGGTTCCCCGTAGACTGTCTATACCCAGACTCAGTATTCCGGTAGCGTCGATTCTGCGGCAGTTGTGAGTGAGTGAGTGATGGGGCGGGGCGTGTGAGATCAGCGTCGGATAACTTCTGCAGTTTACTGTAGTGTGTGGAAATCCATAAAAACTCCTAGATTTTATGTTCACAGCCGCAGAGGTGGAGGCGAGAAATAGAGGGAGCTATATTTGCCATTTGCCGCGGCGCAATACGTCTTGCAATGCATATAGCCATACAATATTGAATACCAGGCAATACACCACTATTGTTGGATCATTGACAATCTACACCAGAACCGCATATATACACATTCAGCGAGCTTAATATGCTATCACCTACTAGCGAGGTCCCATGACTCTTAGCAGCACGAATCTCACAAATCCCACAAATCCCGCGAATCCTACATACACACACACACACACACACACAGACACACACACACACACATATATATATATATATACATGTACACACTCACACACACACACACACACACACAC